AGTAACCCTGACACAATATTTCAATAGGTGCTAGTTTGCTAATTAGTAATGCTGAAAATAAATGTTATTGAAACATCATGAAGAAACTCAACAGAATGCTACGGTAAAATTAGAAAACAATTCAATAAATAATGAAATAATTCGTGATTATGTATTTTTCTTCGAAAAATTTAGGCAAATTGCAAACAAAATAATTAAAATTCTATTCAAAAACCCTTTCGTCAAATTCCTTTATTTGAAAAGTGACAACTCCACCTAGTAACAATCGATCAAGCAATTGTTAAAATTACTCACTGCCAAGTTGCTAAATAATTAGTAAATTTTTCATATACTCACAAAAACAAAAAATCAACCAAAAAAAAAAAATTAATACTTATTTGTTTTCGGATTTTCGTATAGAGTATGATTTAAAAAAGTAGGTATAATAAAAATTTTTTGCCGAAAATTTATTTAAACATTTACACGAAATTATTACTAAAAAAAAACTTGAAAGTACTAAAGCCAAAAAGAGCAAAACGTTAATGCTAAACAGCGAAAATAATTATTTTTTAAAAAAAAAAAAAAAATTTTTTAATCAATGTAATCATGCGAAAAGTAGTCTATTCTTTAATTGCGGCGCATTAGATGATTACATAAAATTTTTAGCCACCCTGATCAATGATGTAAGTGGTTTCGCCCAATGAAAAATGATATTTGTATTCGTCCAATGGGTAAATCCAGTGTCGGAATACTCCAAATCTGATCCATGCGGATCGTCGATCATCCGGATCTATTCAAACATGCGAAATTGATTGTATGTAATTCAATCCAAAATTTCGTTCAATTTCTCAGCACACTATGGAAAAATGGTCTCGTCTACCAACTATAATTCATCCTTTACTTTTCTCAGAGTTTTGTTTGCAAACTATAGCTTAGCCTTTTATCTTTCTTAGGGGTTTGTCTTTCGTTAGAGTTTCCAACGCTTCGTCTTTCGCCAGAGTTTCGTCCTTTAGTCATTCGCCTTTCGCTAGTTTTAGGTATTATCTCTCGTCATCACGTAAAATAGTTCCTCCTAACGACTATAAAATAGAATCCTCTGCGCCGGTGGGAACTATCCTTAAAGGCATAAATTTTTTAAAAAATGGGAATGATCCTATAGCGAAGCTTGAAGAAGAATATCCCTCTTGGCTTTGGGAATTATTGGACGATGAAAAACAAAAAGCGCAAAGTCAAAATTTTAATTCTAGAGCATATCATCGTAGGGAGCGAAAAGAAATAATCAAGAACAATAATTTCGACAGAAGCAGGAAGAAGTGATGTAACTGAAATGCGGGTTGTTTTTTGAATGATGGAGTGTGTTTAAATTCATTTAGATGAATTTTATAAATAATCTTTAATTTTCGAATTTATAAAGAAATTATAAACTACGTATATAGCCGTATATTACCAAATAAAAGCAATGATTCAGTATAGTTCTTATTAATTTTATGGGTTAAATTAAAGTGTACCATATACTATTAATGTCGCTTATGATTAAAATGAAATTCGAGGTTTCTATTTAACTCTCTAAAACCTACTTATACTTTATTATAAATTCCATCCCTAATGCCAAGTGAAAATTATTCCTGGGTCAATTTTACGTACCATAGTCAGGGACATGGAAAAATTCCGGGTTGATTTACGAACAATTCATTGTGATTTGGCTAAAAAATCCTTTTTATACCGATATAAAATTTTTTATTTATTGTTAATAATATTATATGCCATTATAATACAGTATCTAAAGTTGAAACCTGCATAGCAAATTTAACATCAGTAGAATTGTGTACGTACATTCAGGGCTAAATTTGCTATTGTAAAAATTTAAATTATTACTACAGGTTTCATGACTTTGAAAAAATTTAATGCTTCAAGAATTGTTTTTTATAATTGACACTTTATATCTGGAATTTCTTAAGACATTATTGCCTCTTTATTATTAGCGAAGCTCTCTACATACATATTCAAAAGAACCCATTTTTCTATAGAATCGATACTATCTATAAAATCTGAGATTTATTGTTGATTTGAACCAATCAGAATTAATTTAAATCATGTGACTATCCCAACTCTAAAAATTCCCGGCCGGAAATAAACAATTATGTAATGCGGGCCAAAATTTTGTAGATCAAGGCCGTTGACCAATCAAACTCGATGCCACAGTTTTTTTTAATAACAAACTGCTGTTGCTATGACGTGAGACGCGTCAGTAATTATAAGTTGCTTTACTGCCTCAATAAACAAACTTTAAGAAATGCAGCCTCAAAAGCGAACAAAAGCTCAGAGGGAAGCCTTACGAAAAAGGAGAGAAAGTGCAGCAATTTTCAACCGACTCAACGAAGGTTTGATAGCGCCCTCGGATGTTGCCTTTGCTGATAGCTTGCGAATCAGGATAATTAAAATGTTCACTTTATTTAGATACGTCGATCAATTTTTTAAGTGAAAATATTGATGATTTTTCGCGGACATTTTTTGACGATGGCTTCGATGACAGTCTAACAGCAAATACTTCAACAGAAACTGCGAAGAATAATATAGACGTCGATAAAATGTATGACTTGTACTTTGATTATAATTTGTTTTTTTTTAATTGAATTATAATTTATTAACTATTCATTAATTGAACATTCAAGTCCTAGTTCAACAGAAACTGCGAAGAATAATATAGACGTCGATAAAATGTATGGCTTGTACTTTAATTACAACTTATTTTTTTTTAATTGAATTATAATTTATTAACTAAATTCATAAATTGAACATTCAAGCCCTAGTTCGACAGAACAGCTACGTATTACAGAGAAAGCAATGAATTCTCTCGCTAATTTCAAGGAAATTGCTTCAAAATTCAATGCACCTTTACAATCACAAATGAATGCGTCGTGTTCTACCCCAAAGGCAACCTTACCAATACTTTCATCACATGATGCTATAAGATCGATTAGCCATAACTTGTACTCTCCTATTGGAGTACATAGAGCTTCTCCTTTGAAAGACCATGGAAACTTACTCAATTTACCAGATGAAATAGATAATTTTGAGTTCCGAATTTGTTCAAGCTCTTCATCCACTACCAATTCATCTACAGACAAGAATTTTGATTTGACAATCCCGAAACTACCGAACAAAGAATCAGAAAACCTACGTTTTAGAAGTGAGAAGGTAGACCAAGGGCTGGGTACACCAAATGTATTTTCTTCAAATTATCATTCAAATTCCTCAAGTAGGCCCTTCAATTTTAACAATTTGTCTAAGGACATGTAAATAAATAAATTGTTTCTCGTTACTCGGCTGGGTAATTTTTTTAGAAATGTTAAAATTTTTTTTCTATATAAAATTTTTTAAAAAAATTGGTTAATTTTTAGTATAGGTGGGCATATATTAATAATATAAAATTATAATATATTTAGTCAGGGTTAGTTTTTTATATATTAATTTTATTATAATTCTATATGCCCATCTATATTAAATAAGATCTAAAAAATTTAAATATACCATTTTTTGTTGTTATTTGTTTGTCCCATGTAACGAGAAACATCTAATTTAATTTGCATGGCCTAATCAATCGCTATTCACTTTAATAACTAATAACACATTATTTAGTGACTTCAAGGGGGGAACATAAGAAAACACGTGCATCAAATTTAAGACCACCAACTTCCCTTTCGCGCTTGAAACCGCCAATCCAGAGACGCTTAAATTCTGTAGAAACGGCTTTCCACGCGATGAATATTTCATCTGAGAATAATTCATCTGAGGATAATAGATCTGCATCTAATTTGCCTGGTTCAAGAATTTTACGTGCAACTTCCGTTAGACCAAAAAAATAATAAATTGGTATATATTTAAATGATATAAACTCCATTTTTTATTTTCAATTTTTAATTTATAACGACAATGTCAGAATCATTTATTAAACTACTAGCAGGATCACAAATTGTCCTTAGCTTACAAAGAAATTTGACAAGAATGGTTTAAGCAATAGATGGTAGCACGTATTATATAGATGTAGTTTATTTCATGTTCTCAATGCAATGTAAATCAATTGGAATTCGATTATGCGAAAATGTTATTTTTGCTACGTAAAAAAGTTCACTATTTTAAAAAATTAATCATATGCATTTAAAAATATTGTTTAGCTAGATTGTAAATAATTTAATGTCGTGGCTGATGCTGGAAATTGGAACCTCTATTTGAAAACATAAACCATATTACTATGTTAACTATTAAAACGCGAAAAAAAAAACCATATGACCAACTTCCAACGTCAGCAGCGACATTTAACAAAGATGAAAATGCCAATAATTCAATAATAGCAATAGCTGTCAAAATTCCAAATTCACCTTATAAAATGGTATCAAAGTTCCCGTTTCTCCATCTCTAGATTGAGTTACCCATTACATTATAAACGTATAGAAAATATTCAGAATTCAGTTCAATAGTTGATTTATTAGACCAGTAACAAACTTACCAATATGAGTTTCAATGTCAGTGCCGTTTGCACTAGCTGATTCATAAATAAAAAAAACAAGATAAAAAAGGAAGTGAACTGGGCTGTAGGCGAAATTCTTCGAATACGTGATGCCATTTGAAAGTCCTATTATGTTTTGTTGAGTGTTATTATAAATTACGCAAAAAAAAAGTTACCACGAAAATATTCTTAGGTAAAATTTTCTACGTTACACGTGATCACGATAATTGATAAACTTGACATTCGTCAGCATAGCGGAAGTTCATTTTGATTGGTTGTTAAAATACCCCGGAAAAAATGTAGATCATTCCCGGATAAAGGGTCGTCTAAAGCGGAGCAGAATCACGTGATATTAGACCAATCAAATTATGATCGCCGACGAAGCAAACCGAAAAACTTGAAAATACAAAAAATAGCAGTCTAAACCTACCTTGGGTAAGTTAAGTAAAAATGTCGGGAAGACAATTTTGCTTATATATAACTACCTAA